CGATAGCTGGGTTTCTTGCATGCAAGTACTTGAGTCTCCTCCACTTCCCCGTGGCTCTGCCAAAAGCGTTTTCGACCCGGACTCGACATTGAGATAACCTTCTGTTAAATAACAGTAGTTGTTCAGTTAAGCGGTTATCATTTGCAAAAGGTACCAGCATCTGCACATAAAAAATAGGAATTAGGTTCATCACAATCATCTCGTACAAAGAATATCGAATAACTGTACTTACAAAATCAGTTAGTTGGTAACCACCGTCGCCCAGAATGTGTTCATCACGATCTACAATCCTATCTTCTCCTTCTTTAAGAAGATCATGGAGAAGAGGGCTTCTTCTTAGCACACGTCTGTCATGCATGCTGCCTACTTCTCCAACATGTAAGTGGCGAACCAACAATGTGTGGTCAACCACTGCTTGAACATTCATGCTATAGGTGTCATGACGGTTAACATAATGGGCAGCATCTTCATTACGGGCTGATATGTAGATGTGGGTGCAATCAATACTCCCCACAACACCAGGAAACCCGGTAGCTCTTTGAAATACACCTTTGATCACAGTTTTCTCCTCCGCACTTGGCCAAGCTATGAACCTTGGGGCAAGTTCTCGTAAAGCCATAATGACATAAGAATAGAAGTACCACAAGGTGGATGGTCGACGACCAAACCTAAGGGCAATACTTCTGAAGGAATCAGGCGTCGCCAATACCCATACGACCATTAGAAGTATATCTTGCAAGTCTGTTCTCTGTCTCTGTAACCTTCCTTGATCATGAAGATGATTTCCTACTGTCTGCACCAGCAACTGCAAGAACCACATGTGGCATCAAACAATCTTTCCGCACTGCATGATGCATCTAAAACACTCATTAGAATACAGACCTCAAAAATTCTTCTTGACATTCTGAAATGCATTTTGAACACAGAATCATTCATCATGTGATACTCATTGATGTTCACGGTCACATATACCCACGAGGCTTCAAGTGCTCCTGAAATATAAAAGAGACACAATGATAACGTTCGATTTGACAGATTCAAAATAGGTTATGTAACTTACTTGCATCTATCCACGGTTCTTCCTGCTCCATAAGCTGTAAGCTCCTGTGCTATAGCAAGCATCGCTCGTTCATTCTGTTCTTCAGCTTCTTCATTGAGATGCACGGCAAGGGCCACAGCTTGCACAATCTCTTCCCGGTTCTCCATTTCTTGAACGGTCCTGTTCTGTTTATGTTTTAACCACGGATCACGGCCTCCTCGAAATGCATCAACAACACGGACGGACACGGCTGACTTGACTCTTAGAGTCACGAACGAACCCGAACGGCTTCGGCTGCACTCGGAAGTGTACTCTTCCCCCACTCCCCCCAGAAGTCTCTCTCTCTCTCCCCCACTCCTCCCATTCCTCGCTCGGGCGTACGCTCTCGCGCTCTCGCGCTCACGCTCTCGCAGGCGTAGTCTTAATTGGATATAGCTCGATGGAGGTGAAAGAGCAGCATCTCTTCTTTACGGCCCTTTTCGCCGTTTGTTCCGCTCTGTTCCGCGTTTTGAGAAATAGCAGTCAAAGATGACAAGTTTTGTTTCCCGCCCGGGCTGACCGGACGGCTGGCCTCTGCCGCCGGTCGTTTTCTGGTTTCGAACTTTGTCAGATATGAGTTTCTAAGACCCAGACTCCTCAGGGGCGCATTTTAAGAGTGACTCCCCACCCCCCTCCCAATATTGCTGGATCCGCCCCCTGCCGGTCATTTTCTGGTTTTGATTTTGTCAGATTTGAGTTTCTCGGACCCAAAAACCATCGAGTAGCGATTTTGACGTCGATTCCTCCCTCCTAGAATTTTTATCGGTTTTTTTTTTTGCTTCTTAGCCCACTGTGCGACGTTGACGCGATGTTCCACGGGTTTGAACGTTGACACGACATTTTTCTGTTTTTCTTGTCTCTTGTTTCACCCTTATTCCTGAAACTCACCACACGCTCTCACCTGGGCGCACAGTAACCAAACCAGCTTCTTCCCCAATGGGAGCACAATTCGGCTACAGGCGTTCCTCCCTGGTATCTACTTGACTTCAAGGCGCTCAAAGATCGCAAGCTTCTTCCCTTGAGGGAGCACAGCGATCCCAGGCGTTACTCCCTTGTAACCACTACAGACTCTTTCAAACACACACACGCTCAAGCAGGGCGCACAGATTACTCAGGCTTCTCCACCGAAGTGAGCACAGAATAAGCAGGCGGTCTTCCCTGGTCCCTCTTAACCTTGCATACACCCCCTAACCTCGACGGACTTCCCTAACCTCTCGACCTCAGGGCACAATATACGCAGGCCTCTTCGCTGTAAGCAGGCGCAACGTACACAGGCTTCTTCCCTTGGTCTTCCCTCCTAACCTCGTCCTTCTTTTCAGAATCACCTAACGTTGATTTTCAGATTCGTCTTTCCAAAAAGCTGAGGTACCCGAACAGAGCTACCGAACCGTGCACCGCTGTCACCACTTGTAGTGTGTGCAAGGGCTTAAGAATGGTAGAGATGTTCAGGTATCACTGGTTTATTGTAAGACGCATCAGGGTCAGCACTAGGCGACAGACTGAATGCCGGCTCTGCTGAGCGGCTGCTTTTATAGTTTGAGGGTACGTTCGTAAACCAACAGGACCGTGAGTGACCAGTTCTAGGAGTCCTTGGCAGGGAGCTCTCTAGGCCAATAGTATAGGAATGGAACGGAGTGTGTTTGGGTTAAGATGGCGGCTTGCATGCAAGTGACCAGATATGGTTAGGAATCTTAAGACTGTATTTCACAACAATACTACTTTTTAGAAAATTGCTTTCAAAATTTTGACTTTGATCAATTTCAAATTTGAAAATTTTTGTCAAAATGTTGCAATAGGCTTAAAGTCCAATTCAAGACCTTTTAAATGAGCCCAGAATGAGCTCTGTAGCTTCATTTTGGAAGAAACTACAGCGTTTTCAAAAAAGGTCTGGAACAAAATTCAAAATTTCTAACGCAGGCCATAACTTTTTCAAAAATCGGTATTTTTTTGCTCAAAATTGGTATTGGGGGTATTCAGACCATAGCCAACAAGCTTGCAAAGTTTCATCGAAATCGGAGACATCACTTGCAAAAGTATGTCGTACCCCCATGGAATGACCCTAATGGTTTAAAAGCTGGCTCTCTGAATGTAAGCCCAATGTTAATACTACACTGTATTCTTTTACTCTAAAGATAAAATACCACGAGGAATGAATAACGTAAATTATGTTGGCGTATTGAGCAACAAGTGGCCTCTGCATTTGACTTTTTGAGACGATTCACTGAATTTGACAAAACTTGTTCTCCGTCGAATGCTTCAGATCAGCCTAATCTAAACTGAGTCACCTAATATAAACTATGATTACATATTCCAGTCTATATTGTTTAATTCACTGGTTTAAAATGAAACAATGACAAAAGGCTTCTCAAATATAACTAATAAATTTGTGAATTCATTAGGTTGGAGAAAAAGATGTATTGAATAGTGAGTCAAGCAGAAGAGTAGCTAATTAAGCGATTCAATGCTGGCAATGGAATGTTACTCGACTGAAGGAATCGCATTGGTGTGTCATCAGGGTATTGGTGACGACATAGGGTGATCCATGCAGACCAACCCAGACCCATTCTTTACCCATTATTGATCAATTTGATATCAATATTTTTCAATCGAATCTCATATTGACTCTTGGAGTTTTTGGAGTGCTGATTGTGAAAACCACTTCCACTTAAATGAAAGTAGAATTCGACTCCAGACTTATATTTTCATCTAAAATTAGGTCATTTCGGACCAAAATTTTCAGGTCAAGTTTTACATTGTTTCCTGCAGTGTTTGATGAGCTAAACTCAAAAATAACATCCAATTTTTTTTTAAACTCACGCTTCACCAAATTTTGACCAAATTTGGACCAAAACTTTTGAATTGAGTTTGATGCTGATCCCAACTGTGTTTTGTGTGCTGATAACGAAAATCACCTCCATTTCGACTCTTGACTTATATTTCAATCACAAATCAGGTCATTTTGGACCAAAATTTTCAAATCGAGTTTTCTATTGTTTACTGCAGCTTTTGGTGCGCTCAAATATGGTGAACTGAATTTAAGTTATGTCAGGGACCGGGGTCAGTCAACTCCTTGGAGGCTACGACTGCTGGAAACACAAGGAAAAGTCTGTCCGAAGTTACCCCGTAAAATTTCGATTTTTGATAAAACTAGGGGTACGCGCCGTTTAGTGTGGGCGCGTAGTGTGGCTGAGCGATGCGAATTAGTTTCTGCACTTCGGACTTTGCTTAGGTAGACGAAATGTGCAGCTTGTGGGCCCATATTGAGTAAAATGTAGGTTTGGGGTACAAATAGAAGTGATTTTCGTTATCAGCACACAAAAAACTGTTGGGAGCAACGTCAAACTGAATTCCAAAATTTTGGTCCGAAATTGGTTGAAATTCGGTAATGCGTGAGTCTGGGAAAACTTTGGAAGTCGTTTTTGAGTTCACCAATTCACCAAATTTTACGGGGTAACTTCGGACAGGCTTTTCCTTGTGTTTCCAGCAGTCGTAGCCTCCAAGGAGTTGACTGACCCGGTCCCTGACATAACTTAAACTTCGGACTTTACGCTGATGAGGGGAAGAGTTGCCCTGCTCTGCAGATTTGTCTTCTAGTAATCCATATTTTGAAATTTTCAGAACATGCCTGGAAAATACCAGTAGAAAAAAGAGTTCCTCGTAGAGCCCTAGATCTAGTCCAATATCGGTCCTACAAGAGTTCTTAGGCTAGAATTGTTGGTCTACATGTTGTGACTCAAATTCATTACATCCATCAACGTCATTGGATGTATGGGGATGTAGCTAATTGTCTGCTGTTCCAAGTTACCCCCGGTCATGGGGTAACTTGGGACAATCTTTCGAGACCGCTTGCAAACGATGAAATCGAGGAAAATGAACTAGACAAGCATGAAATCATGGGGAAAGGGTCAAACTTTAACATAGTAAGGATCCAATGGTCTGGGTTAAGAATCTTGCCTCGGGCGTTCAAAAAACGTGAAAAAGTGTCCCAAGTTACCCCCGTTGACGGTACGGACCGTGTCTTGTCGTAACAGGCTTCGCGATGCTGCGAAAGTTTCGACAATCCACGCCTGGCGTGTACACCTAACTCTGCCTTGGCCTGCGGCGCTGGCCTTTCTTCAGCAGGCTGCTGTCCGAAGAAACCGTAGGAATGGACGCGATCCCCACAAAAAATAGCATTAAAAGATCAAAATCTACACTGATCGGACTTAACAGTGGGCCAGGGGTCAGAACGGGTTCTTTTTACGTCATCAACACCCTCAAAAACATACGAAGGGTGTGAAACTTGCCCAAAAATTGAAAGTAACTAAAAATTTAAATTTTTTTCTGCCGTTCTGTAAGGTTTTTGTTAACATGACCGACTGGATGAAGTTAGCTTAATTTTGGTTTGTGACGTGCCAAGGACATATCTACCAGTGACCTTGCAAAATCTCAGCCAGATCGGCCGAGCAGTTTAGGAGTAGTGCACAAACACTCACACACACACCGACAGAAAAAGTTTTTTGACCCCCCCCGAGAACGGGCTTTGCTATCGCTCACCCAAAATATGTTCCGCCTAGTCACGCATCATCCCAAAAAAACCAAACTTGGGAAGATTCACTTGCGTGGATTAGATTCGTTTGGTGGTAACGTCCAGATAAGATCTTTATAAATAGGATGCCTCAACATGGCTGTACTTTTGCCTGGCATTGACCGGTGTGGTACACAGAAGGGACTTCTTTGGGACGATTGTCTTATTTACTATTTATTCTTCGATTTTTGCCCTGTCACTGTTTGGGGGTTTCGGTACAGTGGCCCTTTCCTCTGAGTTGCTTAAAAATGGCGCGCTGTTTTTTCCCTTTGAAGCAGAACGCATTCAGCGTCCCTCCCCCCAAAGGTAATGTTGCCGAATGCTACTGTCCAGTCCGTAAGGGATTATGGGGCGATTCGTAACAAATGCGTTTATTAATTTAAGTGGAGGGAGCAGAGGAAAATCTGAGTATGGCCCCTCTTTCGCCCCTCTTCAAGTACAGGGTCCTTCAACAATCGATACGGATGTGATCGGTGCTCAGGTATAGTTTTGAAGGGCGTCTGAAATATAGGGTACCCAAAACCCGGGCAAATCTTTTATTTTGAGTTCTAGGAAGTTTCTGTCTGAGGGCCCCCAGGATGAATCACCATCGAATACCTTTGTTGGGGCCTTGAAGCGTGCCCCCTTACAATGTAACCACGTGGCATAAGTTGCTTTTACTTTGTCCAGTGATAGTTAGGGACGTATTTCTTGCGTAACAGGCATTTGGGGTGATTCGTAACACACCCGTATAAAAACAAGAATTTAAGAAGATTTTGCTATTAAGTGCTTGAATTATTTCTCGAATCATCTGCAGCCTAATTCCAATACATTTACACAGCTCTAAATGCATTTTAAAGCGAGTTATTCTATTCTTTCCACCAAAATTGAGAAAAGTTAGGTTAGGGTTGACATAGCCGGTCAGTTTATGCTGAGGCGGTCAACGGCAGCTTGTAATGTAGATTTTCAGGCGTCTGCAGGACATCCGAAGAACAACTGCTGGACAAGATAACATTCCCGACGATGTTTCATTTTATGTGTAGGATGTAACGAAAAGCCCCATGGCTGTTATAAATCACCCCATGCTGGGGCGATTCGTAACAGCATGCAAGGGTTTGGAAAGCGTCTTAGATTTCAAAGATTACGTACTCCAGATTAATCCAATGGAGCTGCACAGTCTAGATGAAGAGCCAGACTGCTCAACTGGCACACGCTAAGTAGGAAGTGTGGTATTTGTTACTAGAGTGCTAGTTGGTTCCTATTTTACAACACATTCTAGGGGCGTCCAAAAATACGTTCGCACCTGGGGGGGGGGGGGTTTAGAGCTTCCGTTACGGTGCGTTTTTTGGAGGAGCGGAGGGGTTCGCCCGGCGTGATGTAACGCAAATCGACCCATACCACCTATACTTAAATGCGTGAAATTGTGGTTTACTCGTACGTTTAGACAGTTTCTGCGTGCTTTTAACCTTTTTGCAATTCGTCGCGTAACGCACCGGGGGGGGGGAGGGGTCCGAGGCAGCGTCACGCTGCGTTTCATAGAGGGGGGGGGTTCAAAAAAGGCCCCAAAAAGCGTTACGTATTTTATGGACGCCCCCCTTTAAAAAATGACACTGAAATCCTGTTTGATCTAACTAAACTTTTTTTCAGTGTAGAAACAAAGTAAATTGAGCATTTATTTGCGTACAAAGAAAAAACTTCGTAATTACGAGCATACATTCCGTGATTCGTATTTTGCGGTTTGTATCTGACACAAGCTCAAAAGACTTGGCGAGGTTCTAAGCGTGTTGAGTGTGTCGAAACAGAGGAACCAGAACGATGGACGGGTCCGTGACACACCCGCCGCTGCAGTACTCGGCATCGTGCAGCTCGACGCCGCTCATCACGTTCGCCACTTTGCTGGTGGGCTACATCAACGGAAACCTGTCCCGCGAGTTCTTCAGTCGAGCAGAAAAGTCCTACGACAAGCCCAACCGGTATGAGCTCCTAGGAAACGAGGGTCACAACTCAAAAAATAATAGTTTTAATCCAGAGTTTACGGACCGTCTCAATCAAGTTGATCCTAAAATAACAGGAAAATTAGCGGTGTACATCGGCATCTTTGGCCCGTCCCGTACATCAAGAAATGTGCGAATTTCGCCTATGTTTAACCCTGACGAGATTTGAACCTGAGTTGGGATCAAAAAAGATGTTATTTTCGTCATCAGCACCCTAAAATACATCACAAATCATGCAAAAACTCGAATTCAATGAATGTTTAAAATGTACCCCAGTGGGATTTGAACCCGGGTCCAAACTTCTCCGTTAGGGTACTTCGGAGAAAGCCCAGACCGGAAGTCAGCGACAGAACGGGAGAAACAAAAGAGCGTCGCGCGGCCGTGCTGAGCCGAGCGGTGGTGGGGGTTGAAATCGGCGGAGTGGAGATGAAGGCGGCGCGCGCATGCTACCCCCACTCTGCCGATTCCGGCCCCAACCATCGCTCAGCACGGCCGCGCGACGTTCATTTGTTTCTACGGTTCTGCCGCTGACTTCCGGTCTGGATTCCTCCGAAGTACCCTATTCACTTAAAATTGGCAACTTTGGGTTTTTTTCTTGTCGCCCTGATTTCAAAAATACCCCTACATGCCCTGCTAGCTGTATCCGTCGCCGAAATCCTCTTTGACCCCATGTAGACCATGATGCACCTGCAGCAGCCCCCCCGGGGCTCGGATCGGATTTGCTGCCACCGAGCGGTTCTTAGGATCACGCAAGGAGGCTGCATCCCAAAATTTTGGTCAAGATCGGACCACGGGAAGTCCTCGGACGAACGGACGGACGGACGGACGCACAGCATGCATATACTAAAATGCCCGTCCCTCCGTTTTTTTTTTTAAAAAAAATAATGGGGGACGGTCCGAAAACAGTGGAATTCAAATTGATCCCCTGGAAGTTTGGCTACAATTTACAAACGTTCATAAAAAAATTTATTTTGTAATTCCAAAAAATTTTAATGGGAATTCAAAGTTTGGTCCCCTTTTCATCTAATTTCTAATGCCTTGCGCGAGAAAAGATAATCGTTGCTGCAAATATTTCATTAAGTATTGGGACAGCATGAATTGAAATAGCTGCAACGAATTATTTTACTTTTACGAACTTGTTTCTAGGAGTACGCGCCGTTTAGTTTGGGCGCGTAGTAGGCGAGCGATGCGTCTGAACACATTTTTATAGGAGATGGCGAAGAATATGCGCACAATAAGGCCAATACAGTGTCTTCCGTCACAAAAGGGGCCCGGGAATTCATGTCATTTTCGTGATTATCTTACTGAAAACTGCAGGAAACAATGGGAAACTCAACTTTGAAATTTTGGTCACAAATTGGTAAATTTTGGGAAAAGAAAAGGTCGGGGGATGAAATTGGCAGTCATTTTCGTGATCAGACACAAAAAACGGGCAGGAAACTATGTAAAACTCGACTCAAAAATTTTGGCCCAAAAATTGGAAAATATTTGGAAAAGTAAAGGTCTGAGATGAAATTGGAAGTCATTTTCGTGATCAGCACCCCAAAAAAACTGCAGGAAACTATGTAAAACTCGACTCAAAAATTTTGGTCCAAAATTGGTAAATTTTTGGGAAAAAGTAAAGGCCTGAGATAAAATGGGAAGTCATTTTCGTGATCAGCACACCAAAAACTGCGGGAAAAACTATGTAAAACTCGACTAAAAAAATTTTGGCCCAAAAATTGGTAAATTTTTGGAAAAGTGCAGGTCTGAGATGAAATTGGAAGTCATTTTCGTGATCAGCACCCCAAAAAACTGCAGGAAACTATGTATAACTCGACTAAAAAATTTTGGTCCGAAATTGGTAAATTTTTGGAAAAGTAAAGGTCTGGGATGAAATTGGAAGTCATTTTCGTGATCAGCACCCCCAAAATGCGGGAAAACTATGAAAAACACGACTTCAAAATTTTGGTCAGAAATTGGAAAATTTTTGGGAAAAGTAATGGTCTGGGATGAAATTGGAAGTCATTTTCGCGATTTCAAAGGGTGTTTTTCCTGTTCATTGTGTCGTAACATGAACCCTGACACTGTTACTCAGTCGAGTAACTTTAAACAGCCAGCATTGAATTACTTAATACGTTCACAAATGCTTCAATTACCATTCGATATCTCCTTGTTATTGAACTTATGAATACACAATGTTATAAGTAATACCTAAAACGCCTTTTTTCTCCCTTTTTTTTTAAACTAGTGGATAAAACTACATTGATTTATCTCAATTAATTAAAAAGAGACACATTTACAGGCAGGCTGATTGCAACTACTTTACGGAGAAGACCTTCTGTCAGATCCAAAGAATCGTTCCATTTGATTCAATGTCGAGCCCATTATTGCTAAACGCAAGTTAATCTTATTCATAAAGATAGTCATGATGTGATATTTAATCTTTAAAACAGTATAGCATAAGTATTTACCTAACATTCTTAGTAAATTAAAAAGAGAGTCAACTCAAACTATGACCAACACAAATTACCAGTTGTCGCAGACAATATATGATGAAGTTAAAAAAATCGTCTCATGAAATCATATGACCAAGTCACTGAATCGTCTCATTGAATCAGATGTCAAAGTCAAACCATGTATGCGCTACTCTCACTCACCATATGTTATCTTTAAGGTTAGTACTATAGTAAACTTACAGCATTGCTATGAAGCCTGTCCCCAGAGTCAGTGCCAAGAGTCAGCAAAAACTATTTATTTTGGCAAGATTAGTGTCTGGTTTGTACTTTTAGATTGCATTGATCTATTTTCTAACTGTTATTGAGCAAAGCAAACAACTAAAAAGTATAATGTCTGAAATAAAAAAGGAAATACACTCTCAAAACTTAAAAAACCAAATCATTCTTGCAATTATCAAACGATCAAACACACTCCACTGACTAAAACATTTCCCCCGTGGCGGGGGGGGGAGGGGGCGGACGGACGGACGAAACGCGTAATCATTGTCACTTTCATTTTTCCCTATTTCACTGTGTTTACACTCCGGAGAGGTTTCAATCATTCTAGAATATCGAAAAACTAAGACCGAACTCACTTCTAAGCCCTTCTCCTCTCTATTTTTTTTTATTTGCCAATGTTTTGCCAGTCCCGTATTTGAGAGCCGCGGCCGCAAGTATGAAAAAATTTCTGTATATGCTGCCAACCTAACCACGCTAAGAACCTAATTCAAAAAAATGTTTTGAATATTTCAAACGGTAGTAATCGTGAATACAAGATAAACTCCCCCTGTAGGACCTTTAGGGGATGTTCGGTGCAAAATTTGGTAACTATTAGTGTTGTAGTTGCTGAGAAAAGTGAGCGTGTACGCTACAGACAGACAGACAAAACAGACGCACGACCAGCCTTTTTGGAGCGCCCAAACACGGCAAGGGCTCGCTATCGCTCGCCAATAATGTCATAACTTAACCTTTGCACAACCCACAAAGGGTTTGCGGTGGGCACCTTCGGTTAATGCCATGCTTGCGCCACGTACTTCACATTAAGAAAAAGTCTTGTACGACATCACATGTGTTCGTTTAGGAAGCAAACCGTCTAAAATTGTTAGAGTATTTTAAAAAAATTGTCAAGAAATGAATGACTTCAAAAGAAAGAAGCGGGGGGAAAAACCCGGTATCGTTTCTGCCGTGTAGGAGAAGGTTCACGGTTCCTCGAAGTGTTGGGCTTACACTCCTTTAAACGGCACGGGTCCAACTTATTTTGTTGACCAATGAACACGTCAACGGAATGGCAAATGAAAGGTTACAAAAACTGTCTTTTCAGTGCGGCCTTTCGACTGTTTAGCCGGAGACGTACGACTTCGTGATCGTCGGCGCCGGATCGGCCGGCTGCATCATAGCGGAGCGCCTGTCCCGCGTGAGCAATGTCACGGTGCTGTTGCTGGAGGGGGGCGGCACGCAGCCCGTGGGACGGACGCCCCGGGGCCCCCTTTCGCTCTACATCACCTCCAACGTGGTCGAGTTCATGCCTGTGAGTGGGAAGGAGATTGATCGATCGATAAGGGGAAACACTGTTAAAAAAAAAGCGAATGGTTAAACCGAAACGAAAACTGTAAAAAAAGTGCAATGGGGATTGTAAAAATCACAACGCATAGATAATACGAGGCCTGGATTGCTAAGGGGTATTGAAATGCACGTTTTTTTGAATTCCATACCGGCACACCCGGAAAACGGTTCTTTCCTACCTAAAACCACCGCAAACCAAATTTGAGACCGATCGAAAAATATTTGGGGGTCGCTACAATGGCTGAAAGTTGTAAATTTGACGAAATTTGAAACAAAATACAACTTTGGAGTATTTGAAGCCCTGCGCATCCGGTTTTGGGTCCTAGCTTTTGCCCCCGGAGACTTTTTTTTTCTCGGGACCAGGCCGACCGAAAGAACCCTAGGGGATGCTTTTTTAGCGAATGGTAACGGAACTGGGTCCATTCTACGCTAAAAAAAGTTTTTTTTTTTCTCCGTTTTAGTGTTTTAGAGGCCTGCCAAACTTTTGCCTTGCGTCACAAAAAATCTAAACCCATGTATTTGATAGAAAAAAGGTTGCTCTTTCAAATGGCGGTCACGGAAACAGTCTACGATTTTTGGTTTAGGCTCCAGAGCCTTTAAAGTTGAAAAAGGGTTTTTTTTAGTGAATATGAGAGAAAATTTTCACTCTTAGTCACGTGCGACGTAGGTTTGGCCACAAGTGCTACCTAGCGAAGTGCAGGCGGTGCGCTGTGGTGGGAGAAGTTTCACGGGTAGAAATAGACGGCTTTTATACGGCTGCTTAATATTTTGTGACCAAAGTAACGCGCTGGCGTTCGAAAAATACCTGGATTATGTTTAGACTGTACCAGCCTCTTTGCTCCCATTCGTTCACAGCAGGTCGCAGCAGGTCTACGCTATAGACTCGCTGTTATTGCCGCGCGTGATCAACAGAGTTCGCTGGATCGTGACATCATGGGCTTGACCTGGGACAGGGACCGGCTGAGTCCACACGGTCGTGGATACGTAGACGGACCGCTCAGCTGCAATTCTTTTTCAGCGATGACGCTCTGGCCCAGCGCCCAGCAGATCCGCTTTTGTCTCGCAAGCGGCAGGTTTGTGGATCGACGCCAGTGGTCTCTCTTTTGCTGCTGCGGCCAGCGATGCGGCAGCTCTTTGCCGATATTTTGTCTTTGCCTTCTGGGCATCTTTTTAAGGTCGTTTAAAACGACGTCGGCCGGCCAGAGACTGGCAAAACGTCCTCAAAATATCCGTATATTTTGTCGACATCTTGCAGACACAGTCCAAACATAATCCAGGTACTTTTCGAACGCCTGCGCGTTACTTTGATCACAAAATATTTAGCAGCTGTATAAAAGCCGTCTATTTCTACCCGGGAAACTTCTCCCACCATATAATAGCGCACCGCCTGCACTTCGCTAGGTAGCACTTAGGCCAAACCATACGTCGCACGTGACTAAGAGTGAAAATTTGCTCTCATATTCACTAAAATAAAATCCATTTTTCAACTTTAAACGGCTCTGGAGCCTAAACCAAAAATCGTAGACTGTTTCCGTGACCGCCATTTGAAAGAGCAACCTTTTTTCTATCAAAATACATGGGTTTAGATTTTTTGTGACGCAAGGCAAAAGTTTGGCAGGCCTCTAAAACACTAAAAGCGGAGAAAAAAACACTTTTTTGAGCGTAGAATGGACCCAGTTCCGTTACCATTCGCTAAAAACGCATCCCGTAGGGTTCTTTCGGTCAGCCTGGATCCCGAGAAAAAAAAAGTCTCCGGGGGCAACAAGCTAGGACCAACACCGGATGCGCAGGGCTTCAAATACTCCAAAGTTGTATTTTGTTTCAAATTACGTCAAATTTACAACTTTCAGCCATTGTAGCGACCCCTAAATATTTTTCGATCGGTCTCAAATTTGGTTTGCGGTGGTTTTAGGTAGGAATGAACCGTTTTCCGGGTGTGCCGGTATGGAATTTAAAAAAACGTGCATTTCAATACCCCTTACTGGATTGCTCTTAAGACGTGGTGTCACTGCAATCGCAATGGCGATAATAAAGTGCTCTTTTCGCGGTACAATTATGTACCGCCAGGAAACGGCCTTACGGAAAAGTAACGCCTTCAGAACGGCGATACACATAAGTATCGCCAAAATTTGGCGATACTTTTGGGTAATTCCAAAACTACGGCATTAAACCAAGGACTTGTGCCCTTGATTTGTTCGACGTTTTGTGTCAAATCGTGGCAATACTCCAAAGTATCGCCAAATTTTGGCGATGCTTTCGTGTATCGCCATTTTGAAGCTGGCGATACTTTTGTGTATCGCCATTTTGAAGCCAATACTTTTCTGTATTGGCAATACTCAACTGTATCGTCAAAGAAGGTACTAAAAGTATTGCCTGGCACTCGCCACCTTCTTGTGCCATTTTGTTGGCATTCTTTTGACAGCCCGGAATGTTGTAAGTAGACGTCGCGATCTGGAGAAGTCGGAAAGCAAGTTCAAAAATGCGATGCCATGGAAAGGCGAAAACATGCGTAATGTTGGCATTGGCAGCGGCGTCCGCTCTTTTCGTGTCCATTTCATCACCAAGTCGATTTCTTGGATTCGGAAACAGGCATTCTTTTCACGGTCCGAAGAGGCGAAGAGAAGAGATGCCTTACGTTTATAAGGCGCCGACCCGGGATATTACGAAGATTTTTCTTTGTATCTTACAATGACTGTGCGGAAATGACGAGGCATTATTTATTTTTATTTTTCTTCCGCTGAATGCACGATAACATAGCTCGATCAGACCATTCTAGTCCTGCCCGATTGAAGAACAAGACGTGTCACAAAAGAACAACTTTTTGGCACTTTTACTTTAATATTTAAGACTCTTTGCTACGTAGAATTTAGTGAGAACATTTTACAATAAATACAACATATTGCAGTGATCACATGCACTCCAAATGCCCTAAATAAATCTTTTGTGATTCTTCTTATTCTTGACGTCAATCGGACGTCAGGGAGCGCACTGCAAAAAATCAGTGTCAGATACGGAGCATGCTACGGCGTTCCGTATACCCCCTGAAATGGTGATACGGACATCCGCCGTACCACTCCTTCCATAAGAGCCTGTGCTTTGAAAATCGTGGTACGGAAATTAAACGGAAAATGTACCGCTAATTTTACACCGGAGGTTGCCGTTTCGGTTTTCCGTTTGTGAAAAAGTCAAAAATGCTCTACGGACCGTCAGGAACGGACGCTCCGTAACGCAAAATTCTCTGACAAAACGCATGAAACGGTCACTCCGTAGGGATACGGACTGGCCGTAACACGTTATCCGTTACAGAACTTTGAGTTACGGAGCGTCCGTTCCTGACGGTCCGTAGAGCATTTTTGACTTTTTCACAAACGGAAAACCGAAACGGCAACCTCCGGTGTAAAATTAGCGGTACATTTTCCGTTAAATTTCCGTACCACGATTTTCAAAGCACAGGCTCTTATGGAAGGAGTGGTACGGCGGATGTCCGTATCACCGTTTCAGGGGGTATACGGAACGCCGTAGCATGCTCCGTATCTGACACTGATTTTTTGCAGTGCGGAGCGTCTACCAATCAAAACTTCGTCAGAGGTCGAACTGCGCCGCAAGGGGTTACCCACTCTCGTAATCGTGTGTACACTTCGTCCACACGGAAAAAAGGAATTCGTTGACCTAACGAAAATGTGCGTTGATTCCATGATAACCGAAAAAAATTGTTGGAGTTACGAAAATTTTGTTTGAGCGACGAAATTTTTGTTGGCAAAACAAACAGTCTTTAAGCGCAACCAAAAGATCCGTCAAAGGAACAAAGTCATGATTTTGTCTCTCCAACTAACTTTTTTGCTCCGCCAATGAATTGTTCGTCGTACCAACAAATTATTCGTTACGCGAACAAACTTTTCGTTACTCAAACAAATATTTTTCGGTTATTACGGAATCAACGTACGTTTTCGTTGGGTCAACGAATTCCTTTTTTCCGTGCAGTAAGCATGACTCTGAATGTGACTTTTCCTTTTCAGAGTACTCCCGAGGCCACTAACTGCGGTGGGAAAGGGTGTGTGTTCCCGCTTCCTTTCGGCACTGGTGGTGGGTCGTCTGTCAACGGTATGATGTACGTTCGGGGATGCTCGGGTGACTTCGACCGCTGGTGTGCTCTGGTCGACGACCCGCGTTGGTGCTACACAAACGCGCTCAACTACTTCAAACGCTCCGAGAAAAACTTTGAAATAATTTCACGTAAGTGACTGCACAATAAAAAGATTCCACACCATCGCTTCGTTATAGGAAGAAAAGAAAGACACCGTAAAGTCATCAAAGAACTGCTCACAATCAAGAACGAAAAAAGCTCATAATATGAAGCGTCTTTCAAAATAACAGGAAACATTTTCTTCGTTGGCTTTGTAGATTTTTAAGTATGCCGTATCGATTTTTGTAAAAAAGATACACTGTTTAAAAAAATCCATCTTAATTGAAAGAAACTTTTTTATGAAGCAGTTTACAAAGACTTTTTGGTAGTTAAAGTAATAAACATTTTCATCTCAAGGGGGCACACCAGTGAATATCGTCGAATTTTGGCCCTCTGTTTTATTTCATCTTATTTTTGTTCTATTTATCCCGAGGGGGTATGCACTCGCGTAATAGTCGGTTCACTCTATCTGTAATAGCACGCGTAATAATACGGCGTAATAGTCGCGTAATAGTCGCGTAATAGCCGAAATTGTCAAAATTTTATCAATTTTGGTGTGTTTTAGGCCGTTTTCAGCTAAATTTCGATAAATTTGTGGCGTAATAGAGCGTAATAGCGTAATAGTCGGGTACACAGGTTCAGAGAGCGCATACCCCCTCGATTTATCCTGAATCGGACGCCGCAAACCCCACCCCTAAATTCCAATAACTTTGGGTCGTGCACAATTTTTAAGTTGCTAAAAAGGTTATTATTTTTGCATATTTTAGACCACTTGTTAACGTTTAGGTTTTCCACTTAAAGTTCAATTACAAAACCCTTGAACCACCCAAACGCAGTTGTAAAAAGGAACATTTTGGCGCAAACCGAACTAAAATACGTGAAAAGGCGGATTTATAATCGGCAAAAAACACGTCAAATCTTTGTTGTACTTAAAGGGCTTTTACTCAAAACACCTTTTTTGTACCTTTGTGCCACTCTCACGGGCGCAAAAATTGAGATAATTCAATGCGGTTTGCGGCAAAATGTTTGCTAAAGTTGCGTCTATGGTCTGAACCTCGGAAATGGCCATCCCATAAATAGAACGTTAGCAGCAGCCATGAAAGCGCGAAAAAATTGGTTAAAAAAATTGTTTCTATTTTTGCCTTCTGAAATAACAAATTCAAAATCATTCTTTTAGCATGCCCGTGGTTCAGACCATAGCCACATGTGTCCTGGTGAGAAATTTTCAAATCCCGTGCTCGAGGCTCAACCTAGAGAGGCGGTATCGTGGCAGGAGTGAAGCAAGGTCGCAGATAAATGAAGTGCACTAGCGCTCCGTCGTGCTATCGCCACCCCACCCTCCCATACTGATTTTTCTTTTCTTTGATATAATTTTGAGCCAAGAGTAAAATATCAATCGAATACATAGCACGGTGCAATGCACAAGCAATGGAAATTTTACCCATGTTACTTCGGCTGCTTCTTCTAAAACATCTTTTGTTTTTTCACACTCTTTGTCGACAATTTGTTGCAGGATACCACTCTGCGTTGGGGCCGATGAGCGTCTCGTGGCCGCCCCACAATTATGGGACCGCGAAAGCGTTTGAGGGAGCCTTTGCTGCCAAGGGATACAGCCGCGTGGATGACATAAACGGTCCAGGCCAGATCGGCTACTCGCGGATTCAGACGACGACCGGCTGCGGAAAGCGCAGTAGCACATACCGGTAAGAAACTGAGATATTTTTGGGATGTGCGAATCAAGGATTTTCATTCCGAATCAAATAGAATCTTTCAAAAAGATATAATTCCAACTCGTATTGAATCCGGAAAAAGTTGTCGAATCAAACGCTGTGCGCGCGACTTCCAACCGTTCCCGAGCAACCAATTCAAAAATGAACCACAGCGGATTCGAAAAATTCGAATAAATTGGGGTCGAAGCAAAGAGATCTGTCCCCAAATCAGATCGAATCACCCGTGATTTGATTCGATACAGAACTATTCGCACATCCTTAAGATATGTGAATCTTTGAAAGTGAGCTTCTGGGAGGCGCTGACGCACTTGTCGGAAAAGAAGCGGAAATAACTTTTAATTTTACTGCACAATTAAAGGAATTCCACATAAACATTTGATAAATTTCAAGAGCTTTGATTGGTTTTTTGACCTTTATTAAATTTTGTTTTAGTTTTATGAATTTTGAAGAAGTTTGACTAACATTTAAAGTATTCTTATTGAATTTCTGAACAAACTTTTATCAGTTATTGTCCTTTGTTAGAAACGGTTCTAACTGTGTGTTTTCCCAGGAACATTGTTCGAACGGGGCAGAAGCGCACAATGTCACGGATTCGAAATAAAAATGACAAAATTAATAACTTATATTCTCTTCATGCAATTTTCACCAAATTTGGTTTGACTGGGGTTCAAACAGCGCTGCTTTAAAGTTTGAAGTCAACTCTGACTTTTAACATCTCACTTTGTAAATATCACAAATACAAACTCAAATTTTTGGAGTACGTTCTCAAAACCATGCTCTAATGGAGTATAAAGGGCGCTGAAGTCGAGTATGAAATTATTTTTCATCCGGAAAGCACGGTTTTGACAGTAGCACGACGAAAAGCTTTTCTACGTAGTCGTTCTCTCTGGTCGTAATTAAAGAAACGAAATCCGTAGGAAGCATATTTTGCGGAGAAATTCCTTTTTTTGGGGGGGGGGGGGAGCTTGATAGTTTCTTGCAGCTTAACTTCCACAAAGTACTGCCCGGAGTCTGGTGCTCGAGTCTGATAGTGAAAAATCGGCTTACCTTGAACAGTGATGCCCTCCAGTGTGCTTCACATTATTGCTTGCGGAGAGTCTGGTGGCACATACATAGTGGCCACCAAACTTGAACTGATCTTGTATAGGGAGGCCTAGACTTGAAGTTTGCACCAAATTTACCGCACGAATGCACACGAATCGATTTGAAACTTAAAATTGGTTCGAATATTTAGAAGGTTTTCCTTTTTTTCTGACTGAATTTTTGCAGTGTGTAAGTGTATGCAGATATTTCACTCTTCTCGCAGAATGTAAAGAAAACAACGGTTTTTCACGTGTAGTTCACAGATTTTTGTTTGCGGCAAAAATGTGCCCTCAGCCTTGCCTGCAAAATTAGTGTTGTCCAAACCGCGTGCATCACCCTGTTCAGGATTGCTGACTTTTTTCGGAATTTGTCACACTATGAGGCGTGGCAACTCCGTCCACCTTTTTAGACGTCATGTTTGACCCCCCATTAAGGATAAGTTCAAACGGCGAGATCCAAATTACTAAGTCCAATAGGGACAAGCTGTTTTCTTGTTTTGATGTAAGAAATTTGAAGTAAGAAAGCGTGAAGGCCAGGTTTCTATTGGAAAGCTCAAAAGCGTTCCGAGATAATCGTAAAAAAAATCATAAGTAGACACCTTTCTTATAGCGTCTTTAGCAAAACCCCATTTTCACTTGTTTTTGCGATGCGGATTTGAAGGGTGAAGTATCACTTTTTGCGAAGGTGACTTCAAAGAAAATGCAATTATCGCAGAAAAAAACATGATGACTGTTACAACAAAACGCTCTTTTATCGCAAAAATTATAGGGAGGTTATTGCCAAAAAATTGCAATAGCAAAATAATCGCACTCCAGGGTGCGATTAATCATGAGAACCGTGAACTCGGTTTAATCGCATAAATTTTTTAGTAAAAGTATCACAAAATGAATGACAGTGACGTTCGGGCAAAATCGGATCCTCCGAGGGGGAGTTGAACCCGCGATCAAACATTTAACCCCCATTAAACGCACCACAACGGAAGCTCTGATCCCCTCCTTACTTGAGCCTGTTACGTACACGGTAAAAACGGTTCCTGGTTTTCCCAGGAACTCCCTGGAAATCGCCTATGTCTCTACCATAAGGTTCCTGGGAAAACCAGGTACCGTTTTTACCGTGTATTTTATGGACAGCCCCCCACATTATTTGCTATCGCTCTGGTAACATAATTTAACAGTGGGTCAACCGGCGGACAACCAGGAACTGCCTTTTCCGTTTTACCCTAGTTGTGTTCGGGAGCCTAGTTGTCTTATCTCCATGGCCGCCTTATTGAAAACCGTAGTAACGAATCTTTTTTGTTCCTTTGCTTTCTCGCCAGGGCATTTGTTGAGCCTGCACTGAAGAGTAATCGTCCGGGTCTGACAGTCCTGACGTACGCGGACGTACAGAAGGTATTGCTTCGAGAGGGGACCAACGCTGGGGACCCGCCGTTGGCGTACGGCGTGGAGTACACCGATGCTGGTGGTGTGGTACGTGTGGCATACATTGGTAGATCGAAAGCGCGGTCAGGCGTTCACTTCTTGCAAGTTTTCATTTACTCCAAGGGGCTGCAACGGCCCATGGAACGCGTGAAACCATCTCCACGCTTCTGCAAAGGCTTCGACATTCTTCGAGATAGTGAAAAATTGTTGGTGCAACAGTTCCTGTAAAATCATTGGGCTTCTGGAATCTTCTTATTCCACGCTAAACAAGAGAGGAAATGTTTTCTCATACAACATGTTGCAACTGAGGTTTTACTTCAAGTATTTGATAAATTGACAATTTTAATGTTTTAACTTTTATGTGGGCTAAAGTTGCAAGTAAGGGAAAGGGCAAGCAATTAAAGATACGCCACATACAGTGGCCGCAGTGCCTTCATTGCACTTTCCATCTGTGCAAAGCGTTGCGGAAACCGGTGTAGTTTTAGTAATCTTGAACAAGTCCTAAACCACTGAATCGATGAGCATGGGGGCTGGTGGAGCAAAACCTGGCATAAAATTACATTGCGACCAACCGGGTTGCGCTATTGCAATCATATTAAAGCCGATCTGGTCTTGAGACGCTTTTTCGATCGGTCAAAGCATTTATTCGTTATGTGAGTTGTATCTCGCAAAAGTGACCAGAAATTGTCGAAAAATCCATAATTTGCCTAATTTCCCACTTGAAAGCGGAGTCTGGATCAAGCATAAGTAAGCCGACCTAACCGAGTACTACGAAAAATAAAATTAGCAAAAAATGTCAAAATTTTAAGAGTTTACTTTGCATATTTTTTGAATCAATCCTTAGTTACTGTCAGTTTTTACCTCAAAACAAGAAAGATGGACAGTTAAAGGCTACTGATGTCGTGTTCGCAAACCAAATTCCCATATATCGCCGATAATGAACAAAAAGTAAGCAGAGACCTGAGAATTCGAGTCAAAACAGATTGCGTCAGATGCATTGCGTTCCCGTAGCAGCTCGGGTCAGCATTTCATTGAAGATGTCCAGAGCGTCAAAGTCGTTTTAAAACTTTAAAATGTTTTGACGGTACGTTCGATCAGCTTTTGTGCTAACTTGCATTCAACATCGTTCAAGATTCGTTATATCCACCCCTGAAAACATAGAAATCGCGTTGCGACATCCAAAAATCCTGATTTTTGAAAAGTAACCCCTCTTGATCCGCCCATGGGAACATTGAAAACTAAAATCGATCGACATTATAGGTTCAGCACACCAAATAACTGTTCCAAGTGACACTAGCAGTTCAAGATCGAGAACCTGCGGGCATCATGTGCTTCTCCACACCACTTCAACTAGCGAAAATTTGCCGAATCTCAACACTAAAAACCGTTTTTCTTCCTTGTTTAAAAATTTTCTCAACCAAATCTTAAGGGTTGCTAGACTACAGTATAGACTATATTATATCGAAAAAAAAATAAAAATCAAAAATACTACTTTTGAGAAAATTGTGTTCAAAATTTTGACTTTGTTCAATCTTTGTCAAATTTGAACATTTTTGTTAAAATGTTGCAAAACGCTTAAAGTCCAATTCAATAACTTTCGAATGCGCCGAAAATGAGCTATGTAGCTTCATTTTTAAAGAAATTGAGGCGTTTTCGAAAAAGGTCTGCAACAAAAATCAAAATTTTTAACGCTTTCCATAACTCTTTCAAAAATCGGTATTTTTTACTCAAAAGGGGTTTTGGGGGGTTTCAGACCATAGCCAGCGAGCTCGCAAAGTTTCAACGAAATCGGAGAGATCACTTGCTAGAGTATGTCTTGTGCTTACCTATTTTTGACCTAGACTCTGTTTTCAAATTGGAACAGATGGCTTAAAAATAAGTTTTTGAACACTTTTTGTCATTTTGGCAAGATACACTACCCTGTACACTAAAATACGTTAGCAGATCGATAGAGCGTCTAACGACGAATCGATCGGTACCAATATGATAGCAAAAGTGCAACCCAGTCGGTCAAAATCGAATTAAATGTCAAATGTTTCTCCGCCAGTCCACTGTGTGTTCGGAGGCTGGCTGAGAGTGACTTTTGGTAACAGGATCGGACGGCCTATGCTGCTAAAGAAGTAATCATCACCGCTGGTGCGCTGCACTCTCCGCAGATTCTCATGTGTTCTGGCATCGGTCCATGCTCTGATATAGAGGTCAGTGTCATCGATGCGTTTCTTGATCGTGCCTTCACTAGTGTGAATCTTGTCAGAATGTTAGAAACCTGTCTGAAAACCTGATCAAAATTCACGCATCTCTGGAAGCTTAAAACATCTCCTGACAGTCTGTAGAACTTAAACCGTCAATATCAGAGTAAGTTTTCAGAAATTTAGCTTTCAGAGGTAAGCAGATTCTGATCAGGATTTCAGACATGTTTCTGACATTCTGACAAAATTTACACGAGTGATCATGGCGCCATTTTAGGGTGTGAAAGCCACCTTTGCCCTTAAGGCCGTACTTTGCAAGCCTTGAGTTGAACCAGACGTTACTCATGTGTCGCAGGCTGCGAACTTGAGATGCTGGGTGGATCGGCCAGGTGTCGGTCAGAACCTGCAAGACCATCCGCGGCCCACCGCCATGGAGTTCAAGTGTCCCTTGTGCGACGTGGACTGGAACACTCGAAAGCGGGATCTGAATGAATACGATCTGTTACATTTGGGCGCCCTGACCGAGGCCGCCATTTTGCAACTGACGGCCTTTGTCAATACTGGCATCGAGGGGGCTGGCCTGCCCGAGAAGTGCCCCGATCTGCAGATCATACTGCTCGGTGCCACGGAAAGCAAGGATGGCGAGCGGTAAGGTTACATGCAGTGGGTCATAAAATGAAGTCTAAGCGCTGCGTTCACAGCGAATCTTCAAAAGATAACAATAACGAAACTTTTTGTGAGATACACCAGTTCGTGCACTGCGTAGCAACCCTCGTTTTGCTGTCTTCAAATAACAAAACGCCAAAATATATGTAGCTTCACTCATTTAAATATCGTCCGAATGGCAGGAACATGACTAAACACTGGTGTAAATTCATTCAGGAAGTCACTCAGGAAAATTCACTCAGAAAATTGTCTGAGTGACAAGTCCTGAGTCATTTTCGCGCACCTCTGAGTGACTTTTCCTGAGTGACCCTTTCTGAATGATGTATCCTGAGTGGTCTATTTCGAGGGGTCCTATTCAAAAGATCTTATCTGGGCGCTCCTATTCAAAGAATCTTATCTGCAAAGCAAGCGAATTTCACCGATTTTGATCATTTGAGGCAGCTACAAATGGAAATAATTTGGGACTGTAGTTGCACAAACTTGAAGATGAAAGATCGAAGAAATTAATAGTGTGTGTAGTAATATGTTCCGCTTACCCTCTTCTCCGTCCCAAATGGTCAAACTCAGTGAATTTCGCGTGCGTTGCAGATAAGATTCTTTGAATAGGAGCGCCGAGATAAGATCTTATGAATAGGGGCCGTCGATTTCTGAGTGGCTTTCTCTGAGTGAACCATTTCTGAGTGGCAATTTTCTGACTGTCTTGAAAAGTCAAAAATATTACTGATACGAACAAGGGAAGAGCTTCCTCCCGATGTTGAAATCAAGTCCGATCCGAATCCGACGTCCGTTTTGCGATAGCTCGCCATCGGCCTTTGAAATGCCACTAAATGTGGTCCGATTCCCACGAAATAAAAACTGCCCTTGTCAATTGCCGAGAACATGCCGCATACCAAAATTAAACCGAAAATTCCGTCAACTTCCTGTTTTATGGGCATCGAGATTTTCTGAATGCACGTTTCCTGAGTGCTCCAGCCTGAGTGTCTTTCAGGAGTCAGCACCACTCAGGAATTCCCTGAGTGACACTCAGGTTTCTTAATGGCATTCAGACCTCAGAGAACCACTCAGAAATTTTCTGAGTGGCATTCAGACTTCAGCGAACCACTCAGAAATTTTCTGAGTGGCGTTCAGACTTCAGAAAACCACTCAGAATGTTCTGAATGCCATTCAGAATTCAGAAAACCACTCAGAATTTTCTGAATGCCATTCAGAATTCAGAAAATCACTCAGGAAATCCTGAATGAATTTACACCAGTGAAATCCTGATCAAAATTCGCGCACCTCTAAAAGCTGAGATTCTGAAAAAAATTTCTTGATCTTGAAAGCATAAGTTCTGCCGAATGCCGGAGTAAATTTTCAGCTTTAAGAGGTGCGCAAGATTTTATAAGGTGTTGCGACAAGTTTCTGACATTCTGACGGATTTACCCGAGTGAAGCCATGGCTAGTGTATACACTTTAAAAATTAATGTCGGGAATAAACGACGGATCCTTCGGCAAAAAAAATTGCCAACGGTTCCTTCGTTAGTTTACGATGCTCTTCGTATATTCACTAAAACCTTCGTTTATTTTTTGAACGATCTTTACAGTCACAATGGAAATTTGCGAAGCATCTTCGTAAATCTACAAAGATCCTTCGTAAATTTACAGGGAACCTTCGTTACTAAACAAAGAACCTACGTTAATATACAGAGAACCTTCGTATTTATACGTCTGGAATAAACGACGGATCCTTCGGCCAAAAATTGCCAACAGTTCCTTCGTTTATTTACAAAGGTCCGCCGTAGATTTACGAAGAGCCGTCGTCGATTAAGGGGGGGACATCACTACAAAAACAGTGCTTTTGTAAAAACGTCATAAAAACCAAACGGAAAGAGAAAAATTGTTCATAATTTAACAGATAAAGTATAAAACAACACGAAGTCAATCTACCAAGGCAGTACAGCACTTTCGTAGAAAACGCATTTTTGAGTGTTAGGTTAGACCATTTCGCACTGTTGCAGCGCTGGACGCCAAACGGTTTGACCTAGATAAATGAAATTTAGTGACAGCCTTCCTGAGATGTCTGGCTTGGGTACCTTTATCACATTACAAACTCCTTTAAAGTTTTATTTGTTAGATACCAAAAATAATTGTTCAATTTTTTGGGTCAAAATAGTTCAATTTTGAACGTTAAAAAATAATAAAAATTAACTAATGCAAATTATTTTGCTACCCACCATAGCGGCATGTCGAAGGAGCTTCCCTGCTAAATCTCACCGCTGTAGCTAAAAACTGCGCCCTGGAGGCCTGCAACCGTTTGCAATTTCATGTTCCGAGAAAAACGCGATCAAAGTTGGGGAAACTGGGCTTTTCCCCTATGTATGTTTGCGGCCCACAACCTCCCAAAACTGCAATTTTTTAAATTTCGGAATGCGGTTTTCGCCATTCGACGCAGAAAAGAATGGTCTATAGTATAAACTTATAAAAAAAGTTGCGATTTTTTATCATTTTGGAGTGATGTCCCCCCTTAACGAAGCCCGTCGTAAATTTACGAAGCCCTTCGTAAACTTACAACAGACTTTGTACATTTACGATTTTTCTTCGTAAATTTACTGAGAACCTTCGTATATGAACGACAGACTTCCGTTGATTTACAAAAGCTCCTGTAGGAAAGAAATATTTTCAGTGCACTTTTAGACATTTCCAAAAACCTTCGGAAAATAATCCGTCGTCGTAAATTCACAACATATTTTTTACAGTGTACCGCTATCTATTGCTCGTATTTTGGTAGCTATGTAGCTGAACCACTTTAAATCGGCAACTCAACAATAATAATGATAAGAGATGTGCGAATAGTTCGGTATCCAATTGAATCAGGGGCAATTCGATTCGGGGACGGATCTCTTTGCTTCGACCCCGAATATTCAAAATATTCGAATCGACAGTGGTTTATCTTCGAATCGGTTGCTCGGGAACGGTTGAAGTCGCGCGCATAGCTTTGTTTTTGTACAAAAGCAAAATCAAATATTTGATTTTTCTTCTCTTTGTATTCCTGCGCTTCTCCCCCCCCCCCTGTATTACGGAAAATGTGTTTTAAAACGCACTTATTTTTTTCGGTTTCTGTTCAAATTCGATACGATTTTTAAGGGGGCACACCAGTGAAAATGCAGAGGTTTCGAAAAACGATCATTCTGAGAAAAGTAACCGATGTATTCGATTGATATTTCATTCTTGGCTCAAAATTATGTCAAAGAAAAGGAAAATCAGTATGGGAGAGCGAGGTGACGATGGCAAGATGAAGCGCCAGTGCACTTCATTTTTCAACGACCTTGCTTCACTCCTGCCACGATTCCGCCTCTCTGGATTAGGGATGTAAAGGCCGGTAATATTACCGGTAAAGAACGGTATAATACGGTAAAATACGGTATTTTACGGAGACCCTGGTAAAATTGGCATTTTTCAGTAATTTTGAAATATTGACTTAATTGCCCTTCTTTTGCTTCCACACGATGAATTGGGACGTAGGGACTGAAAACAGCGCCTCTTGAGAACGTATCTGCCCCTCGCGCCGCCCCATGTACGTGTAAGACGTCATCTCTGGGCACTTAAAACAAAGCAAGAGGTCAATGTTCTCTTCTTTTGCAAAACTTGTGGATATTAAAATCTAACTACACGAGCCAAACCAGAAACTTCTTTGATGCCAAGATAAGTATAAGGGAATGGCTCGTTCCATATAACCACAGTTGCCCGAAAAATATTTATAGACTTCTGCGAGGTCATTTTTAATTTCGGTCAACTGTGTGCGAATTTAGAAATTGTCGGCCCGATTTAAGCACTCTTGCCCGTAATTATTATCGTTAATTGAGAAATAGCAGATATATATTTCGGCGTATCGTGCAAACATTTGACTTTCTTTTTTAAAAAAAGGTGTAAACTTGCCCAAATTTTAAAATATTTTTTTTAATTTCTTTTAAATTCTTTTGGGAACTGGGCGAGCAGGTTACTGAAGAATTTAATTGAATTTTAAAAAAATAAATAAATAAATAAAAGAAAATGTCACCGATATGGACGTCTTGGCGTGAGTGTTCGCGGTCGAGATACTCGTGCTCGCGCGCAAGTTCACCGTACTGCAGCATTTTTCATACTGTCGTCCAGCTTTAGCCTGAACAGTGATTGCAGTTCATGTGGTCTCAGACAGCGGGGACTGAAGATAGGCTAGGTCGACTGACTATGAAAAATGAAACATCCGCTTCAGACGCACGCTCTTCTGTAAGAAATATTCTGAAGGTGCTGACAGTTTATAGCTGACAAGTAGATTTTTGAACGAGACCCATCTTTAATCAAGGACGGATCGAGAGACGGGTTCGGGGGGGGGGGATGTCGCAAAGGTTGCCTACATACAGGGGCAAAGTGCGACTTGTTGCCTGCCTTTCAGGCGGCAGGGAGGGGCGACGCCCCCCTCCTCCCCCTCGGATCCGCCCTTGGCTTCAACGTGGTGTGACCAAAGACCAAAGATTGCACGTTAGGCGCCAAAAGACCCGAACAGACTCAGCCGTCAAAACACGGGGCGGTAGACACTGAGAGACGGTTTCAAGCAACCGCCTGAAGCCCTACACTGCGATTCGAAGTGTGAGACAGTCTCACACTATTTAGTGCGAACCGCTATGCCTCGCTGTGAGCCACGTTCGTCTAACGATTGCAAGACTTTTAAGTATGAGACACGGCTTGTCCCACACTTGCTACCTATGGCTCCCTGCGGTCTAATGCTACAGGACCCACGCTAGCAAGTGTGGGAGTGTGGACATCCGACCGGCGTCTCACACTTGCAAGCGTTGGACAAACGTGCACTGCAAACCTAACTGTCTACTAAGTACACACTTACAAACGCATGCTTGACGCCGTATAACTCCGTGCGTGAAGCATGCGTTTGAAAGTGTGTACTTGCAAGTATGCACTTGTAAGTGTGTACTTGGCCAAGCATGCGTTTGTAAGTGTGTACTTGCAAGCACGCATTTGTAAGTGTGTACTTAGTAGACAGTTAGGTTTGTAGTGCACGTTTGTCTAACGCTTGCAAGTGTGAGACGCCGCACAGTGGGCTGAAACGCCCAAAACGCGATGATAATTCTTGAGGGGGCCTATCAAGGCCAGAATCTGTGTCCAGGGGTTTTCGAGTGCAAGGAACCCATTTCTGACAAAATAAAGCCCGAAAAATGAACAAGGGTAGATTCAGTATTGGTTAGGGGGGTTAACCGTAACGCGGGCATCAATGGCCACCAAAATCGGTATCTGGGGGTTTTCGGCAGCGGGGAAACTATTTCTGACAAAATCAAGCCTAAAGAAGTGAACGACGGGGGTAGATCTAGCATTTGATTGCCATTTGGGGCACCTTTTCTCGAAAACGGGGGCAAACGGGGGCAAACGGCGATATGCACCGGAAAGTCGGCGGTCCACTTTACCACGGACATATGTCGGACCCTTTCGCAAATGTTCGCAACTCGACTTATCTCAAAGTGAAAAACGTCCTTGATACGATTTTACACTACTTTCTCCGGCTTGTTTCTTCTAACCGGGTAACCTTAATGTAAATATGTAGAATGCTCTGGATTGGTCGCGTCGTCAGCTTTCCAAAAACATATAACATGTTGGTTTTTTCTTAACGAGACGGCCAGTAGAGGGCAAACAGTACACCAATGACAAACATTGCGCGAAAACGTGAAAATGTGCCAAGTTTGGCGTTCCCCCATGGCTCACACGAATGAGATATTGGCAAGCAGATAATTGTCTCGTATAGCCCAGACCTTCCTTGAAAATATCTGCTAGTTTGTAGGACTCCACTCCTCGATTTCAAAATATCCACTTCTCATCGCGTTTTGGGCGTTTTAGCCCACTGTGCGCCGGCCGGATGTCCACACTCCCACACTTGCTAGCGTGGGTCCTGTAGCATTAGACCGCAGGGAGCCATAGGTAGCAAGTGTGGGACAAGCCGTGTCTCATACTTAAAAGTCTTGCAATCGTTAGACGAACGTGGCTCACAGCGAGGCATAGCGGTTCGCACTAAATAGTGTGAGACTGTCTCACACTTCGAATCGCAGTGTAGGGCTTCAGGCGGTTGCTTGCAACCGTCTCTCAGTGTCTACCGCCCCGTGTTTTGACGGCTGAGTCTGTTCGGGTCTTTTGGCGCCTAACGTGCAAGCTTTGGTCTTTGGTCACACCACGTTGAAGCCAAGGGCGGATCCGAGGGGGAGGAAGGGGGGCGTCGCCCCTCCCTGCCGCCTGAAAGGCAGGCAACTAGTCGCACTTTGCCCCTGTATGTAGGCAACCTTTGCGACATCCCCCCCCCCCCCCCCCCCCGAACCCGTCTCTCGATCCGTCCTTGATTAAAGATGGGTCTCGTTCAAAAATCTACTTGTCAGCTATAAACTGTCAGCACCTTCAGAATATTTCTTACAGAAGAGCGTGCGTCTGAAGCGGATGTTTCATTTTTCATAGTCAGTCGACCTAGCCTATCTTCAGTCCCCGCTGTCTGAGACCACATGAACTGCAATCACTGTTCAGGCTAAAGCTGGACGACAGTATGAAAAATGCTGCAGTACGGTGAACTTGCGCGCGAGCACGAGTATCTCGACCGCGAACACTCACGCCAAGACGTCCATATCGGTGACATTTTCTTTTATTTATTTATTTATTTTTTTTTTAAATTTAATTAAATTCTTTAGTAACCTGCTCGCCCAGTTCCCAAAATAATTTAAAAGAAATTTAAAAAAAATATTTTAAAATTTGGGCAAGATTACACTTTTTTTTAAAAAAGAAAGTCAAATATTTGCACGATACGCCGAAATATATATCTGCTATTTCTCAATTAACGATAATAATTACGGGCAAGAGTGTTTAAATCGGGCCGACAATTTCTAAAATTCGCACACAGTTGACCGAAATTAAAAATGACCTCGCAGAAGTCTATAAATATTTTTCGGGCAACTGTGGTTATATGGAACGAGGCCATCTCAAGTATAATTAGACTAACTTACCTATTTGAGCTGAAAAATGCAATAAACATTGACATGATTGGACACCATGGGACCGCCGGTGCCTTTCAGGAAACAGAGTTTTTATGAAATTGAGCCAACTTACATGGACAACGAGAAAAAAGGCGCCATTTTTGCACTTTAATTTATTTGGGTTGTTAATTTAGGGTCAAAGGAACCAGGCAGAATCAAAATTTATTTACAAACAGGGAAAGTCCACAAAATTCAGTCATTAGGGGGAGGGGTCAGTAAGTCGGAGAATAGTTCATATCTTTCACCCACGCAGTGTTTGGTCCTTGTCTTTCAAAATGCGACGTTGTTCTTGAGTCTTGTTGGCTTGGGAGTATGTATGAAACGCCCTTTTTCCCCTATTTTCACAAGAGGTACCACAATTACCCCTCAAAGTCAAGAAAAATCAATTTTACCCAATTTTACCGTATAATACGGTTTACCGTATAATACGGTAAAATACCGTATTTTACCGTATTTTACGTAACTTTGAATCTTACCGGTATTTTTGCATCCCTACTCTGGATTGAGCTTCGCACACGGGATTTGAAATTTTCTCAACAGGACACATGTGGCTATGGTCTGAACTACGGGCATACAAAAAGAATGATTTTGAATATGTTTTTTCAAAAGGCGAATATAGAAACAAATTTTTTAACCAATTTTTTCGCACTTTCATGGCTGCAGCTCACGTCCTACTTATGGGATGGCCATTTCCGAGGTTCAGACCATAGACGCAAGTGTAACGAACATTTTGCCGCAAACCGCATTAAATTATCTCAATTTTTGCGCCCGTGAGAGTGGCACAAAGGTACAAAATAGATATTTTGAGAAAAAGCCCTTTAAGTGGAAACATAGATTTGACGTGTTTTTTCGGATTATAAATGCGTCATTTGACGTATTTTAGTTCAGTTTGCGCCAAAATGTTCCTCTTTTCAACTGCGTTTGGGTGGTTCAAGGGTTTTGTAATAGAAGTTCAAGTGAAAACCCTGAACGTTAACAATTGGTCAAAAATATGCAAAAATAATAACCTTTTCAGCAACTTGAAAAATGTGCACAAGCCAAAGTAATCGGAATTTCGGGGTGGGGTTTGAGGTATTCGACTCAGGATGAATAGCTGAAAAATAAGATAAAATAAAAGAGAAGGCGAAAATTTGCCGATTTTCACTGGTGTGCCCCCTTAATCTTTGAAAGTTTTATTCAATTTGATTCGACAACTTTTTCCACATTCGATTCGAAACTTTCTTTTTTAGATTCGATTTGATTCGAAATGGAAACCCTTGATTGGCACATCCCTAATAATGATAAAATTTGACACGCAAGTGGCATGACTGCCATGTTAAAATTCAGTTTTTTTAAAACATGGGTGGTCTGCTACGTTAGCATTCGCTTTGCAGTCCAACCCCGTGAACTCTAAGCGTTTGAAATGGATGTCACATTCGTCTGAACGTGACTGATCCTTCAATTTAGGTGTCACGTTTACTTCGACGCTTCCTTAATCAAGCTCCTATCTTTATATATAGAATCTTAAACAGCAGTTATCACTATGCGCTACCATCAACAACAACCAATCTGTATGCGCTGGGGATACGAAATACGTTGTTCTTGACTGTAGCTCATAGCTGTTGTTAGGAGCTTGATGCATGGATTCGATGACTTCCACGAAGTGGATCGACGTCCAAACAAACGTGACATGAACTTCAAGTCCACGTGACGTCACATGCATTCAACAAGAGTGCCTTCGTTGCCTCCAAGGTGCATGGACAACGACGTGTGGAGGCACAACATCGTCAAGTGGCTGCCGGCCGTTCTTCACCCTGAAAGTCGTGGTGAGGTGACTCTCGACCCGTCCGACCCCTTCGGACGGCCCGTGGTGACGCTGGGGTACTTCACCTCCCAGAACGACGTGAAGGTGGCCATCCGGGGCCTGGAGATGGGCGTCGCCATGGCGGACGAGCTGGCCAAGAGAGGCCTTATCCTTGACCGCACGCCCATACCCCCATGCAGGTGATAAGACTAGACGCTATTTAAACAACGTTAATGATAAATTGGGATATCCTAAAGGAGAGTTCACTGAGAACTGTCTGACACTTGGAGGCCTTTGAAATGAGGTCTGGGCTGAGTGATGTGACGTTGCTTGGGACTGCTACCCCTACTCAGTCAGTCGCTGGAAGGAGGTGAAGTGAGGGGTGGTTTTTACTGGAAATGACGCTTTTTTCGCTCTGGAAGATGAACGGTTGGTGGGATCGTCTTGAAAACTTCGGGATCGCTTCCCCTACATATGTCTTGTTCGACCAGCTCGCTCGTCGGAGGGCTTTCAACCCCTCCAGGGGCGTGCAGGGGTGCAGGGGGGTAAACACCCCTACTGCAGGGGCTGCAGTCGTCCGGCACCGTGTTTCTTCACTGAGACGTCTTCTCGGACACTGGGCACTCGGACACCAAACCAACCTTTAAATGAACTTTAGCACCGTTCAAGACACCGTTTTTTTGATACACGAGAACAATGACATTAATATCATGACTTCTAGTGTTTTTTGCAAGTTGGACTCTGTTAACGACGTGTTTTCATTTTAGGGACTTCGAGTTCGCGACGCGAGAGTACTGGGAGTGTGCCATCAACGCGACCAGCTATACGCTGTGGCACTTTTCCGGGACGTGCAGTATGGGCAAGATAACGAATCCGCTGGCGGTAGTCGACTCGTCTCTCCGCGTCATCGGCGTCGACGGACTGAGCGTTTGCGACGCCTCCGTCATGCCGTTCGTTACGAGCGGCAACACCAACGCCCCCACCTGCATGATCGCCGAACAGTGTGCTGACCTCGTCCGGGCGCGCCACGGCCTGCCCGAGTACCGAGAATCGCCATTCCCAGAACCACCGTTCCAAGACCCGCCATTCTCAGAGCCACCGTTCGGCTAATGTTGTTACAGCCAAAGTGATCTGTAGCCCAGCCCGCCCACCCCGAGAAGACATCGTTGCGTTTTTATTCGTATCCAAGCTCTAACCTGTTCTGACCTTTGAAAGCATGTAGCACGCTCGCTTTTGTTGACCCGCAAGGCAATGAATTTATAAAATATCAATTGTAATGCAAGGGAGGTGTATGCAAGACATTGGCTTGGCGTAACACGCTCTAAGAAAATATTGTGAATTTACGAAATGTCAGTACACGATGTTTCATTTAAAAAAACGTTATTGTTTTGTCAGTTTACAAAACGATCGCAATCCTACAAAATCATTACAAAATGTATCGTAATCCTACAAAATCACTTTGTAAAGAGAGAGAAATCTTCCTAATTTGGTGAATTTACGGACAATATAACTACGAAATGTTTTGTTTAGAGAGGCTTTACGAAATATTGTCCAAAAACAACACAAAAGTTTGGGTAATTTTCTTTTGCGAAGTTGTCATTTATATATGAAAACATTTCGTTTACGTTTTGAACCAAAAAATTCGTTGTTACGAGGGAAAAAAATTTGTGTGGAAGATTTCTAACAGCACGCTTTTTGAGGTTGAAAATCTTGATAATTGGCCGAAAACATTTCGAAAATGTACGACATGTGACGTATTTAAGAGCAGTTGCCAAACTTCGGGGCACTTTTGAAGGACATTAACCGCAAGAAAAAAATGTGGAAAAGTCGGCTTTTTTCTCGGCCAATTCATTCAGTGATGTCCCACGACTTATATCTGAACGCAATCGAGCTCCCGGTGCAATATTGCTGAAAGACCAAAAAGCCCCTATCAAAAGTATAGCACTGTCAAAAAAATTAAGTACAATCGACCAATTGGTTTTGGTCATTCGAACTAAAACTAATTCTTAGTCGAGTCAACTAAAATTTAGTTGAGTGTAGTCGCTGCCCACCCTGCGAGGTCCGTCAAGATGCTGCGCTCGGCCAGACAGCCTCCATCAAGTCGGTGGCGCAGTGGTTAGCGTTGTCGCACGACGTGTCAGGGTATGCGTGTTCGACACCCGCCAGAGGCTCCGATTTTTCGACACTTTAATTAAGGGGGCACACCAGTGAAAATCGTCAAATTTTTGCCTTCTTTTTTATTTTATCTTATTTTTCTGCTATTCATTCCGAGTCGAATGCCGCAAACCCCACCCCAAAATTCCAATTACTTTGGCTTGTGCACATTTTTGAAGTTGCTAAAAAGGTTATTATTTTTGGATATTTTAGACCAATTGTGAACGTTCAGGTTTTTCACTTGAAGTTAAATTACAAAACCCTTGAACCACCCAAACGCAGTTAAAAAGAGGGTCATTTTGGCGCAAAACGAAGTTAAATACTTCAAATGGCCCATTTATAATCCAAAAAAACACGTCAAATCTATGTTTCTACTAAAAGGGCTTTTTCTCAAAACACCTTTTTTGTACCTTTGTGCCACTCTCACGGGAGCAAAAATTGAGATAAATTAATGCGGTTTGCAGCAAAACGTTCGTTAAACTTGCGTCTATGGTCTGAACCTCGGAAATGATCATCCCATAAATAGGACGTGAGCTGCAGCCATGAAAGCGCAAAAAATTTGGTTAAAAAATTTGTTTCTATTTTTGCCTTTTGAAAAAACATATTCAAAATCATTCTTTTCGCATGCCCGTGGTTCAGACCATAGCCACATGTGTCCTGTTAAGAAATTTTCAAACCCCGTGGTCGAGGCTCAATCCAGAGAGGCGGAATCGTGGCAGGAGTGAGACGAGGTCGCAGAAAAATGAAGTGCACTGGCGCTCCGTCTTGCCATCGCCGCCCCGACCTCCCATACTGATTTTTCTTTTCTTTGATATAATTTTGAGCCACGAATAAAATATCAATCGAATACGTAGGTAACTTTTCTCAGAATGATCGTTTTTCAAAACCTCTACATTTTCACTGGTGTGCCCCCTTAAGTGTCAGTGCCTCTGGGACGCTGACGTCACATTTAGAAGGAGGTCGTGTGGTCACGTGATTCTCTCCAACCAATAGGAGAGGAGGCAGTTCTTAGTAATCTCAAAAGGATCTCGAGGAGATCGAATCAACTAAAACTAAGAAAATCGTCATCAAGTCTCCAAATCGTGTGACGTCACCGCTGCTTACATCACAAGAGCCGACTAAAGGGAACTGACTAAATATTTTGGTCAAAATTTCGACTAAGTTTTGTTTGATTCGACTAATATTTGGTCGTTTTTATCGTCCACTCATGCTCGATTGGCGTGTTCTTAATTCTACTAATTCTTAGTCGCCCTGAAAAACGACTAAATTTCTTAGTACAATCCACTAAATTTTAGTCGATTGAACTTTATTTTTTTGACAGTGAGGGGAAAGACACGGAACGTTACAGAAAAAAGCGGGGTACGGAACGTTACATTTTCATTCAAACAGGCCTAGTAACTCTCTTGCTATGAATTAAAACACGCCATTTGGTCTGAGCACCTGTTTTAAGATTCCTCAACACGTTCCGAAAGAATCATATCTCTGTTTCGTCCAGAACTTGCCCGGGGAACAGAAAGCATTTTAAAATCATGGTCGGACACAACCGAAACATAACCTATAAAACAAGATTCTGAGCTTTCTATTAACTTCTCAGAGTTCCCGTTTGCACTATTCGACGGCAAAAATGCTAAAGATTAATCTGACGACAAGGCCGAGAACTACCAGTGGAGTGCAACGCGAGAAACCGTGATAATTCACATGTAACGGTGATAATTCACATGTAACGGTGATAATTCACATGTAACGGTGATAATTCACATGTAACTTTCCGCAAAGTCAACCACGGAGGATATTTCGCGTTTACAGATTGCACCCAAATCGAGCTCGTAAAAACGAGTTTAGTAACATGTGTCTGATAGATAAAATAAGAAAGTTTCCGAATATCTTCTCAGAATCGTTCTACGTTCCATATTAGCTGAAATATAAGCATCGAAACTTCGAATTTATGGACGGGGGACATGCTGGTGCGTTACAAAATGACCGAAAGACACGAAAGATACCCTTATTTTGGCAACTGCTCATAAACGATATTTTTGTAAATTTACGAACAGTTCGTAAAACAAAGTTACCCAAACCTTTTCGTTATTTTACAAGAAATTTTTTTACAGTGCAGGCTTTGCGAGGCCGCGCCCGTTCCGACAATCCACGCTCCTGACTCTCTCGCCGCACATAGCCCCACAAAGAGACCTGAACGCTCATCAAAGCAGCATTCGGTTCCAACTTTCATGCTGAGGGGCTCCGCAGAGTGGGACGAAATGTGAAAAAGTGGTTATAATTACAGGAGCCCCCAAATCACCGCCAAAATATCTAGTTGGGGGTTTTTCGAAGGGAAAAAACTAATTTCCATTAAAATCTAAAAAAAAAAACTTGCTTCCGAGAAACGGGGTGATTTCGGACACTTGGTGTAATTACGGACATCTCTGCCCGGAAGCAGGGCGATGATACTCCCATCTGACGGCCAGCTTGGTGGCTTGTCCCGTTGCGCGCATCGCATCGGCCAAACTTCAATCCATCTGATCCCGGTGGCCGAATCAGGGGCAAACTTCTGGAGAAAGAGTGGCTTTTGAATTTAACCATTTTTACTTAAATTCGCTTTAGGCGTAAAAACTTTGACTGGCAAGCCGAAACTGTACATGGCCGGTTCATGAGGTGATTGTTTGTCGATTTGATTATGTTACGAGCATACTGTGTCAAAGTTTTAATCACCTGGGTCAAATAATATGGTTTCTATGGGCTCAAAACAAAAAAATGTTACTTTTCGGGCTAATTTTGGACATACAAACGTCACACCACGGAGACTGGGTATGTTCTGAACACTTTTATTTTCGCAGGGTTTGAGTGGTGGAAGCTGAAGAGCTCTTCTGAAAGATGAAGATAATCCAATAACAACGATAATCCTCAATTGCCCGGTTGCTTCGTGATCTTTGAATTTTATTTAAGTGGGGCAAAGCTAACATCTTTAATCCTTAGTTCTATGTGCATATCCTACCTTAGTGTCGACGGCTCTTTTGTGATTAATTTTCTTTCATGTAACATGAGAGTTGGACTTGGCGAATGGCTGCATAGCTCGCCGGTTTACTACAGTTGAAATGCAAAGTTTTCCCCTGAGCCCCTGTTTCTTCCTAACCGAACATACGACACTACTACTTGCCCTTCATATGCATGTATGTGATCGTATGGAGTTTTGTAGAGGAAGATTTAAGATTCACTTTCGCGTAAAAAGTATAGCACGTATTCCGGTTGGCGGAAGGCGGTCGATGGCCGCCATCTTGCCGCCCAGTTTTCCGCGGGATCTTCGAGGCGGAGGTGAGCGTTCTGTGATATTTTAGGCTGTTACGTTAAAAATGTGTTTCGGTGATCGTTCTTTTGCTCAAAATCTGTTCTTAAGTACCTAATCTTGGATTTGAATCATTAAATATGTCCGGTGGCCCCTTTTAAACCTCAAAATCTTGACCTGATAACCGGCTTGGGGCACGACCCTTAACCTAGCGGAGGCCTTTCTTTGAGCGATGTTTACGGGTCATTTATTGACTCTAGTAAAAATGATTTGGATGAAAATTATTCTTCGAAGACTCATCTATGTGTCTTTTTCATCCGTCGGGCCGTAGGATGCGGCACGGGGCTTCTAAAAGAGCCCAAAGTCCCCTCGGAAGGGCGGGCGGGTTCGGGATCCCCAGCCCCTTCTGGCGTGTTTACATTTAGTTGCTCGCCGGTTTCTGGCTTCGAGCAATCAACTCATCTCTTCGGCAACATTAAATCTCACGTTTTGGACAATCTGACATGTAATGGCCTCTTATCAAGTGTCTCAGTCACCTTCCCAGTTCACTTCCTTACCTTCTTTTCGCATCGCTCAAAGTCTCAGTCAATTTTTTGTGTTTGTTTTTGCACTTTCAGTGATCATGGCTATTTCGCTTTGGTGTTAAATGAATGAAATGACTTATACATTGTTCTCCTGTTCACAGCTTTAGGTGTCGACTCCAATGTTGTTTTCTAACAGCTTTGTGGATATTGGTACATGCTCAGTTAACATTTTACGAATCTGTGGCACGACCCTTGCACATTATTTTCTCTGGAAGACCCCTATCTTCTAGTGGGAAAGTAAGTACTCACCCATTTAGCACAGCATTACTCTACCTTCCTTGAGGGTATTCTGAATGTATTTGTTTTCAGGCATTCTGTTGCTGTGGTTGTCTACACCAGTGTGTAGACAAGAATTCATGTCAAAGGCACCACTTCTTCCTCTTGCTGACCTATGGGGAGATTTGCCTTGTTTGCCCATTGGTTTTTACTTATTGTTCTTTTAAGATAAATAAATTTGTCCGTATCTTTATGATTTAGTTCGAGTTTTCCTTCCTCTTTCTACTCTTAAGCATTCATCGATGCCACTACCTTATTATTTCACCTTTTGAAGGATAAAGCTTAAACATACATTGTTTTATTTTCTGAAACTGTGAATCTCTGTCTCTAGGACTTCAGGCAATTAAATCTGGTGATTGGGGTCCTGAGTTATGCTGGATGTTAATTCATATGGCAAGTTGCAACATCTGATGTGCTTCATTGTATTTCTGTTATGTAAGTGGTCGTGGTTGTCACTGCCATCTATTTCATAAAAAGAATTTGTTAGGACCAAAGCACAGTGTAAGCCATTTGGACAGTTGTTACTCTAAATAAAAGAAACAAATAAAACGGATAAATATATTCTTTGGAGAAATATAGTCTCTTAAGTACATTAAGAATGCGAATAGAATCAATTCATAACTAGGATAAAAACAATCTCTGGAAACATGTGACTAGAACATAGTCTCCGTAGTACAATGTAAACTCAAACAGTCAAAAAATTAATGAATAGATAAATAGAGTCTCTGGAAACATGTGACTAGAATATAGTCTCCCTAGTACAATGTAAACTCAGTCAATTAATAACTAGAATGAATATGGTCTCTGGAAACATGTTACAAAAACTGAGTCTCCTCAATACAATGCCAACACAAATATAATCAGTCAATAACTAGAATAAATATGGAAACATGTGACTGAACAAAGTTTCCTTAAGGCGGATGCTAACGAGTTTCCTTAAACTATTACTCAATTTTAACATTAAAACGAAATACTGTTAACTCAAATACAGGATTATTAACAACTACACAGCCGATGGTTTGCACTCCAGGCAGAGCCAGGTCTTAGGGACTCTTTTCAGACCAAAGCAACGAAGATGAAAATATCTGAAAGTGCAGTTTCTTCCAACACATTCAACCATTGGAGGGTCCCAGTCCTGTTGACAATAACAAGCAGTTCTTGGTTGTTGATCAGGCTGATCATTGGACTGGTGAGGGTCAAATAGAGACAACTGCTGGAAAAGATGCTTCAAAGTAGTGAAGTAACGAGCCTTCAGCTCTGGAAGTATGACTTTACGACAAAAATTTTCTGCACCAACTAAAATTTCATCTTGACGCTCAGAATCCACATTAACTCTCTTGCAAGTGGAACCTGAAGGGTGGTATACATAGTAATCACAGTAAGTATACTTTGGTCCAATACAGAGCAGCTGGGTCTGCATCTGTGTGTAGTGATTGGCTGGCACCACATTTACATCAGGATTGGCATCTTTGGTACATTTGATTTCCACAAGACCATACCCATGGCAATCACAATGAACTTTACCATCTGGTGATGCCCCAATGAAGGGAAACTCAGGTGATATGTACAACCCTGTATTGTACAATTGAAAGTTGGTGTGGCTCCTGCGCATGAGTTCTAAATATTCAGTTTTAGCATCTCCCTCCAAGTCAAGACCTCTTATCATCCACTTACTCGGATGATGTTCCTTGAGTGGATTACAGATTTTCTCTACAAGTGATATACTGGGATCGTCAACACCAGTCTGAAGACAGGCATGCATGTCTGAAGCACCAATTCTTCCTGCTTTCACTTTGCGCCACACTGAAGTTTTATATTGTTTACGCGTTAATTTCTCAATTCTAACTCTTTCCTCGATGGACACTTTAAATTTGCTGAAGTCACTCCGACACTCCATCCTGAGTTCATTCAAGGAAAGGTCACAGCAGTTCCTGTCAAATATATTGACAACGGGAAGGACAATTTCTTCTGGAACATACTGATCACAGTACTCGGGTAAAACACGAAAAATTGCACTGTCTGGTTTGACAACATGTAACTTCTGGAAGAAAGAGCTCAAAGTGCCAGGAGACACAAGAGCCTGTCTAGGAGGATGTGCAGGTGGATCATCAACAAGAGATTCTTCATCAACTTCCCCAGACAGCCTCTTCCGCTTGTTGGTTGGTGTAGTCAGATCAATGTTCCGCACAGCAGAAAGGGGTACTTCTTTCAAAGCAGGAGGCAGCCAAGAACAGGCTCTTGAGGTGCATGTTGTTTCTCTCTTGCGTTTGGCTCCATATTCAAGGGCATACAAAAGAGCAGCTAAATGATTACATGATTCACCACAACCAGCTTCACAATTGCACCAACCAGCAATAATTTCACCATCTAGTTTGACAAGAGCCCAAGGGCGGAGGGCAGGGTCATTAAAAGAATAAGAATGCTTAACTCGAGCAACACAAATAACATAATCATTGGGAAGCTTGTGAAACCGTACATGTTGAACCCAACCATCATTGAGAAATCTATAAGCCCTTGTTGACTGATAATTTTTCATGCTTTGCATGCTGGTAACCCTGGTTCGGTCTATTAGGTAACTAGCAATATGTATTAAATTAACATCTGGAATGAAATCTTCGGTCTTAGAACAATCTTTCCACACAAGTTCACAAGGATCAACATTGTTACACAACTTCAATAAATCCTTATACCGCATTAAGTCTTGTCCGGTCAGGGTTTTGGCATAGCCTTCATTAAACCTCATAGGCTTTGGCGGTGTCTTTGCCTGAGCCATGGCTAAATTACAGTCTTAAAATCTCAAACTTACAATAGGAATAGAATATTCAGAATAAAATACAATAAATAAAATAAAATATGGAAAGCTAACAGTTATATATCTTACTCACATCAGCACAACTCTAGAGGGACAACCTGAAAGGAAGAAAATTAATCTTCAGGTGAATCAGACATGGGAATGATAGGGCTAGATAAGTTACACAACGCACAACACACCAACACAACATCATCAATACGAGCTACAGGCTCATTAGAGTACTGTTGAAGATAGTCGAAGTTCAGTGTTTGCTTCAAGACAAGATACTTATTTCTAAGTAAACTAATGACTCTTTCCACATGAATACGGACATGAGCTATTCTTCGTGATACTTCAACATCTTCTGCAGATAGCTGGTTTCGCCCATGCATGAAGGAGGGAGTGACAACACGTGCTTGCATTCGGCCAACACATTCATTAACATCAAATCCCCGGTCAGCCAGTACCACATCACCAGGCAGTAAATTGTTTAAAAAGTCCTGACAATTCACAGTGATAAATTGATCACTTGATCTTCCTCCAAATGCTTTGGAAATGTAGGAGATAGTTCCTTGAGGAGTAATTCCCAGGAGAAACTTCACTGTGCTGTGGTGTTTATATTGTGAGTAAATTTGAGCCTTAGCTAGTAATCCTGATGGAGTTTCACAAAACACCTCAAAGCAATCCACCACCACAGCGACAGATTTACCAAACTGATCTTGAAAACACTGAGGCATAGTTTTACGCAGGGTTACCCGATCTGGCCAAACAATTAAACCGCTGAGGCACTGAGCCATGACTGGGATCCACATGTTGAAGAATTTACTAACAGTGCCCTGAGTCACCCGGAGCCTATCAGCAATATCTTCTTCCAACAGGCCAAGCCTCAAGCGAGCAAGCACAGCTGCAAATTCTTGAAATTTGGTGGTAACAACTTGACTACTATTATAATTCTTCTTAATATGAGGAGCAATTAAATCAAATATGAGGATCAGTATAGCAAAGGTAGGTATGCCAGTATAAAACTTGCATTTCTTGTCAGACTGAAGATGTTTTTCAGAGAATACAGGGGGCCCTGCTTTTTCCAACTTCTCTTCCATTGCTTGGATGTCCAACATGCTTAGATCAGTTTGACACTCAATACTGCAGAAGCCAGGGCGATCATTAACATGTTCATTCATTTCTACATCTTCACATAAATTTTCTTGAACTTGAATATTTTGATTTAAAGGAGCCAAAGGTCGCCGATTTTGAATTCTTAAATACCTTGCACAATCAGGTAGGGCAAGATTGTTGTGGCCAAGATTTAATGATGGGGCCCAATCAGGGTTTTGTTCATCCATGTGGTATGCAGGCTTCCCGTCAACAAAATGCAAACTGCACACTTGAGTGCTCTTTGTGACTGTGGCTTCAGTTATGTTAGCTCTGTGAATTCTTGAAAACCACAACAATCGTCGCCTTGTTGTCACCTCAGAGGTTTTATCACAATGAGACAGTACCTTAGGGATTTGATAGAATTTGACATTGTCACGCCCACTCCGACTAGAGCACCCAATAATACAACAAGTAACCATGTTGACAATATGGCACTTGAATTAACTTATGTCACAATAAAATTTTTAAAATGCTTATACTAACATGCTTACACTATTACAAGAGAATGTTTGACAACTCAGCCTGAATGTCTAACTCACCAGATCTAAGGCCTATCACTAGTATCACATTACCTGAAATTGAATAATAATACATTGTGTTAAAAACAGATACTAATGGAGGCTTAATTACTAAAGCAACAGTACAATCACTCCAATATAAAAACTAAGTAATCCAAAAACAGGCCGAAACCAAGTAGTCTGGGAAATGAACAATAGCACTTGACTTTCTTGACACTGACTTGACACTTGACTTGAATTTCTGATGGAAGGAGGAGTGTAATCCAACATTTTGTTAGCTCTGAATACCTGCAAAAAGGAATATTTTTTAAAAGTAAGTACAGTTAAAGAAGATTACCATGCTACTTAAATGCACTATACTTCAATACTTACAGCAGCATAAAGTAAATTTTTGACTCTAAGAATTGGTAATTTCACTCTCTGAATCAGCTAACAGTAGAATATAGTTCTTCACAGGATCAAACAAAGCTGTTGTAACCTTATAAAACAAAGCAAGAAAAATAACAATTAAAACATCATCAAGGTAATTTCATTTTCACTAACACACAACAATTAAGAAAATTCTTTACCCATGTGCCATGCAAAGACAACTTGAATTCGGGCACAAAAGCCAATTCTCCAATCCAATGCAAGTTAATTTCCAAAGCCATTTTTTCTGAAAACAAAACGAAAAATATTCATACACAATACTATTCAATAGTCAGACTTAATACAACACGCAATCACAATAAACTTACAAAATTCACTTACTTGAATCAGGAGGTGACAGCTCACTCAGCATCGCAACAATCAAATACGTGGAAGGTGACATACCTGCAGAATCATTAACCTGCAAATAATAAAAACATGGACTTAAAAAAAATTGATTAACACACACACACACAATCAACAAGGGAAGCGGTTAGCGCTGGAACGGTACAAGTCTTTATTTCAGGACCTGAACCCAAAAGTACTAGCAAAATGACAACAAAACCAAGTATAAGTCATTTCATTCATTTAACACCAAAGCGAAATAGTCATGATCACTGAAAGTGCAAAAACAAACACAAAAAATTGACTGAGACTTTGAGCGATGCGAAAAGAAGGTAAGGAAGTGAACTGGGAAGGTGACTGAGACACTCGATAAGAGGCCATTACATGTCAGATTGTCCAAAACGTGAGATTTAATGTTGCCGAAGAGATGAGTTGATTGCTCGAAGCCAGAAACCGGCGAGCAACTAAATGTAAACACGCCAGAAGGGGCTGGGGATCCCGAACCCGCCCGCCCTTCCGAGGGGACTTTGGGCTCTTTTAGAAGCCCCGTGCCGCATCCTACGGCCCGACGGATGAAAAAGACACATAGATGAGTCTTCGAAGAATAATTTTCATCCAAATCATTTTTACTAGAGTCAATAAATGACCCGTAAACATCGCTCAAAGAAAGGCCTCCGCTAGGTTAAGGGCCGTGCCCCAAGCCGGTTATCAGGTCAAGATTTTGAGGTTTAAAAGGGGCCACCGGACATATTTAATGATTCAAATCCAAGATTAGGTACTTAAGAACAGATTTTGAGCAAAAGAACGATCACCGAAACACATGTTTAACGTAACAGCCTAAAATATCACAGAACGCTCACCTCCGCCTCGAAGATCCCGCGGAAAACTGGGCGGCAAGATGGCGGCCATCGACCGACTTCCGCCAACCGGAATACGTGCTATTTAATCGTTTTTTGAGGATGTTGCCAGTGACGGAGACCGGATTGCGGCACAGATTCGGAAATGTCTCGACCGGACCTACCGATGGGGTGAATAAAAATTTCTAGTCGGTCGGTCCCCTTATTTGAAGATTGAGTAGGTTTGCTCGGAAACGGTGAGAAATTTGTTCCCCTTTTTTGTAGATAAAGTAGGTTTTCTCCGAAACGGTGAGGAATTTTCAACTTTTGGGATTTTTCCCAATTTTCCCATAAAATTTGGAATCGAATGGAAAAAACCGCAAGTCTCTACGACCACTCCTTCACCCCAAACATTTCTATGAGTGAGTCAGTGAGTGAGTCAGTCGGATTGGGGCTTTATAGGTTCTTGACTCGCGCTGCTCGCTGGGGGCGGAGCCCCCAGACCCCCGCATGTGTGGAGCGCGTGCCGAAGTATTTTCAGTAAGTCCGTGGTGAGCAAAGGCAAATTTTCTAAGGAAGTAAATGTCCTGCTTCTTGAAAGCTCTATTTAACCGCTTTTGACCATATAATGAGAAGCTACAGACAAAAAAAACCACTTGGTCGGCGACATTCTAGGAGCGGGGGGTAATTCTTTCCCAAGTCACCCGAGGTCCCGAAATCGATGTCTCCGATTTCGACGAAACTTTGTGGGTGTGTTCCCTATGTAGCAAAGAGCTCCAGAAAAAATTTTCAACTTTTTTGGTCGGCCCAAAAAATTTTAATCACGTATTTTGTAAAAAACACTGAAACGTGCACAAAAAATTTTTTTGTTGCCTGAGGGCGACCTCCCCGGGTGGATTTTTTTTCTTTTCATGGTACTGAAAAAAAGTCCCCGCGACCCACTTTAAAAGCCCTTTTTCCAGGAGATATGGCCCAAAAAAATTCGTTTTTCGCGAATCCCCAAAAAAATGCACCCGAATTTTTTGATGATAATTTTTTTTTAGGAAGGTCCTGTGGGGGTCTATCACCCTTATAGGTTTTGGGTTTGGCCAATGGAAAACCGAATAAAAATTGCTTTTTTTTTTCCGTTTTTTCCGCATTTTTGGCCCATAGTATCGCCATTTTAAGTCTGACTTCATGAGCGCCATTAGACTTTTTTTTCGCCTTTTCAAGACGAATCGATTGATATAAGTTGAAGTCAAATCGGAGTATTTTAAAAAATCGCCTTTTTTCCGCATCTAGTTAGTTGGTTCCCGATCGTAAAAAGGGCAGTTTTTCAAAATACTCCGATTTGACTTCAACTTATATCAATCGATTCGTCTTGAAAAGGCAAAAAAAAGTCTAATGGCGCTCATGAAGTCAGACTTAAAATGGCGATACTATGGGCCAAAAATGCGGAAAAAACGGGAAAAAAAGCAATTTTTATTCGGTTTTCCATTGGCCAAACCCAAAACCCATAAGGGTGATAGACCACCCCAGGACCTTCCTAAAAAAAAAATTTTCATCAAAAAATTCGGATGCATTCTTTGGGTATTCGCGAAAAACGAATTTTTTGGGCCATATCTCCTGGAACAAGTGACTTTTAAAGTGGCTCTCGGGGACTTTTTTTTTTAGTACCATGAAAGAAAAAAAAACCACCGGCAGGTCGCCCTCAGGCAACAAAAAAATTTTTAGTGCAGGTTTCAGTGTTTTTTACAAAATACGTGATTAAAATTTTTTTGGGGCCCACCAAAAAAATTGAAAATTTTTTTTTGGAGCTCTTTTCTACATAGGGAAACACCCCAAAGTTTCGTCGAAATCGGAGACATCGATTTCGGGACCTCGGGTGACTTGGGAAAAAATTACCCCGGGGGCTTGTGGTGTTTTATCGGTTTTTTCTATGTATACGAACTGCCGAAAAGACACTTGGACGAAATCCGAACCCCCCCGTGGCTTTGGTACGGGTCTAAACACCCCAAAAACAGCTGTTTTTGAGGGTTTGGGACTAGATGGGTTCTCGCAAACCGAGATCCAAAAAAATACCCAAATGGGTCTCAGATACTCAAAAAAATGCGCTCTTTCGAATGCCGTGTTGAACGAGGCTCTACGACGTGGGGTTTTGGATGCTACGGGCTCTCAAAGTTGCTCAATTTCACTATTTTTACTGAAGATTTGAGCATATCAGGGCCGTTTGAAGTACACCATCGGCGTTTTCGCTCCTCTTTGTCTTAAATGGTGCCTACCCATAGGAAAACCCCCCCCACAAAATTTCAGCCATGTCAGGCAATTATTAGAGGAACTGTGAAAAATTTTAAGTTTTGGGTCATTTTACCACTGGGCTTAGGTTTTTTTTGGGTCCAAAAAAATAATTTTTTTAGCTATCTACTTTTGATCAGCACCTCTTGAAACGCCTTTTTTAAAATGGTGCCTCAAAAATTTTTTTCGAGGACAAACTTGTCTTTTTCTAGCTGTAATTAGAACATAACTTTGGGGAAAAAGGCAAGTTTGTCCTCGAAAAAAGTTTTGAGGCACCATGTTAAAAAGGCGTTTCAAGAGGTGCTGATCAAAAGTAGATAGCTAAAAAAAAATTTTTTCTGGACCCAAAAAAACCCCAAGCCCCGTGGTAAAATGACCCAAAAATTAAATTGTTCACAGTTCCTCTAATAATTTCCCGACATGGCTGAAATTTTGTGGGGGGGTTTTTCCTAGGGTAGGCACCATTTTAAAACAAAGAGGAGCGAAATCGCCGATGGTGTACTTCAAACGGCCCTGATATGCTCAAATCTTCAGTAAAATAGTGAAATTGAGCAACTTTGAGAGCCCGTAGCATCCAAACCCGACGTCGTAGAGCCTCGTTCAACACGGCATTCGAAAGAGCGCATTTTTTTGAGTATCTGAGACCCATTTGGGTACTTTTTTGGATCTCGGTTTGCGAGAACCCATCTAGTCCCAAACCATCGAAAACAGCTGTTTTTGGGGTGTTTAGACCCGTACCAAAGCCACGGGGGGTGTCGGATTTCGTCCAAGTGTCTTTTCGGCATTTCGTATACATAGAAGGAACCGATAAAACCCCAAAACAGGCCCCGCTCCAATGTCGCCGACCAAGTGGTTTTTTTTGTCTGGAGCTTCTCAATAAGGCTACTTTTACTGCTCAAATAGATAGCTTGTATTGCATTGGCTACTGTGGCAGTCAATGGGTGCATACAAGGTCCGGAAAATATTAAAGACTGCTTTGACAAGGATAGAGGTGAAAGGAAAAAAACCTTAAGTCTCTACGACCACTCCTCGACCCCAAACATTTCTTTGAGTGAGTAAGTGAGTGAGTCAGTCAGTCAGTCGGATTGGGGCTATATAGATTCTTGAAGATGATTGCCCAATTGCCGGTGGCGGGGTCCCGATTACGGCACAGTTTCGGAAATTCTCGACCAGACCTCCCGATGGGGCGAAAAAAATTTTTTTTAGTCATTCGGTCCCCTTTTTGGAAGATTGAGTAGCTTTGCTCGGAAACAGTGAGAAATTTTCAACTTTTGAGATTTTTCCCAATTTTCCC